CTTAGTAACTAAGATGTATTTAGTCTTAAAAAATATGAAATTTCGAGCAGACTAAAGACACAGCCCTACCTCGTTGAAGTATTGGTTCAAATGAAAGAAGTGAGGCCAGGTCCATTAAAATGGCTGGGAAAGCCACTAGGGGGTCATTCTGAGCTTCTGATTGGTTATTCATGTCATATATAGAAGTAAGTGTATATGAGGAAGCGTTTCTAAAAATGGAAAGAGGTGGACTGGGTGCCACTGTTTGACTTATTGCATGAACAATATCTTAGCAAACTGAAAAGATAAGAGGATCTTGTTTTATATTCTAGCTTGTCAATCAATATCAGTAATTTGAGTTTCGAATTCGTTGGAAACTATAGACTTAGTATTTTGACTTCACAAACATCTAATTTGAACCAGTGCTGCATTCAACATACCACGTGACACACAAAGATCGATGTTTATCTGTGTTTTTTAACATTTGCTTTTAAATTAAGAAATTGAGTAATATATAATACTAAAATTTTAATTATAAACTACAGTTTATTACCAAACTTATTGATTGACATAAATTCGTGAAATAGTAGTTCAACAAAATTTTGAATGCAAGTCAACAAACGAGATGACATGGCCTTGAAAAAATCTAAGGTGGACAATATTTATGGATCACTTCTGACCTGAAGAAGGAACACAGGTGATCCAAAATACCACCCAGTTTATATTACACGGTAACTTGTCTGTATAACTTCACTTTGCACATTTTTTTACTAAATTCTACTTGCCAAGAATGCTTCCAAAACTTATCACTTACATGCTGAAGAGTACTGATAATTAAATTATATTGATATAATTTTTAAACATTTTAGTCTGTTTTTACCTTATTAACTACATGATAAATTGTGGGAGTATAGAATTGTTTAATGATTAACATCCATCACAAAGAGAATTGTTGGTATAGATTAAACATTTATGTACCTAATGATTGGATTATTTGCAATAGAAAAATAGTGTTGTAGAGTAATCACCCAACAATAAGCATTATATTAATTATAGTTGGACAAGCAGGAAGAAGAAGGAAGGAGTGGCATGTTGAGTGCAACTGAAGAATTTGGATCAAATGGTGTGACTTCTGCTATGGAAGCACTCAGTACAAATGGAGGAACTTCTGCCATGGAGGTTGATGAATCCTCTACAGCTGTTGATGGTATGAATAGCTCTGAGATTAAACAGAAAGGAAAGATCTCTCCTCAGCTTCAGGCACAAATTAAACAAATTAAACCCTTGCTGTCTGGAGCTTCTCGTTTAGGAAGGGCTCTTGCTGAATTATTTGGCCTACTTGTGAAGGTATGAATGTGTTTAACCAGTAATAGATCAAATTTTACTCGTGTATTTATATTTATTTTATTGTTAGTTTATTTTTTGAGCTGTTTTGGACAAAAAGTGTACTTTAACTAAAGTTACCTGATCTTTGCTTATAACAATGTTTTGAAAATGAGGTACTTAGACACCATCATATAGCTGATAACCATAGCTTATGTTGCTGAAAGTTTATATGTTGGTCACTGGTGTATAACAAGACTGATATAATTTGTGATGAAACTGATAAGATGTATACCTTAATCAACCCAGTCTTACATTTTAAGACTGACTTAAATGTTTGCTGTGCCTGTCATAGCAAATATATCATAAAGGCATTATACTGTGGTTCATGGATTGCTTTCTTGTTTTTGATAAAGCATTCCTGTTTATTTATGCATCTTTTCTTGAATATATATTCCAATTACTTGAGACTAGCTGAATAAGACATTTGATCCTATTCAGTTATCTTTGGTTCAGAATTTTGTATAAGGTAATTTTCATTGGTATTCTTTTCCACTGATAGTTTATTCACACTGACTTAAAATGTTTTGTAACACATAAATGATGTTAAAAGTAGCAGAATTTTAATAGTTTCATTTAATTTGGTAATTTTGTATGTACAGTATTTTAGAAAAACAAATGAGTTAATTTAATTAAAGAAATAAAATATTTTGTAGTAACATTAGCTATACTGATACATTGATGCTTGTTATTTTGAAATGGTGAAAGAATAACTTGTCGATTTGTTTTGTTCATTATCAACATCTCATTTTTTATTATAATATTATTTATTTTTCTTCTTCGATTGTACAGCTTTGTGTAGGATCACCAATGCGACAGCGAAGAGGACAGCAGATCCCACCTTCGCCAACAGTACCAACACCTGCTGCACGTGCTGTGGCATCAGCATTAACTCATCTGTTAGCCAGTGGATTGAGTTGGGAACCTCCAGAAACCTCTCCTCTGCCAAAGTTTAGGTAGATGCTTCAGTTACATGTGTATTGTAAGGGTGAACCATATTTTGTTTTAATTCATTAAGATGATGAAAATTAAGTGTTTTTTTCTTTGTCATTAGTTTTATGGAACAGTTTTATTTGTGATACCTTTGGTTTAGTTATACAAAATATAGGCAAGATTTAGTAATTCATGGTTTTTATTTCCATTCTATATTGTATCACAAGAAGTACATTAAAAACTTATCTTTATCTTATCTAGAACTGTAAATGCCAGCATAACATGATAATACAAAAACTTCAATAATTGTGTTTTTGATGTATATTGTAATGACATATTTTATTTTATTCACATCAACAGACTGACATTTTACATCTGTTCAGTTGGATTTACATCACCTATGTTGTTTGATGAAAGAAAGTACCCATATCATTTGATGCTGCAAAAGTTTCTTTCTTCTGGTGGACAAGATGCATTTTTTGAGTATGTATATAGTCAAACAATAAAGTACAAAGACTGTAAAGCTAAAACAAAACCCTGAGTGGGCTTGTTAATAATCATATTATACAAAAAATAAAATGCCTTAAAATTTTTCCAGAATATACAGCTTCTTTTGACTAAAAACGTGTTGAGTAAGAAATATAATTTAATTTTAAGTTTCCAACATTCATACCTGTCTGTTGATAAGTTGTTTTAATTTCACACAAACTAACATGGTAATTGTAGGTTTCTTACTTCTGGCAACTTTTTGTGTCTTCTCTGTTATAGTAAGTTTTTGTTGTTTTTGTTTTCATTTTGCTTCTGCAGATGAAGTATAACAATTGTTTTGACTAGTTTTTTAACTTTTTAGTAAAGGTCATTTTTGATATTTACCTCAACTGTGTACCAAGAAATCTATGAAAGTTTTTTTAGTCACAGTAACGAGTTCCCTATTCTGATGCAGTTTTCTGAAACATTATATGAATGTAACAAGTACAATTGTGCATTAAAAGAAATGCATACTTCAGGAAAAATCTTTGTCACATTGAAATATTTTATTGCTTTGAATTAAAACATTCAGACCTGATTATGTTTGTTAATAAACAAAATTAAACATACACAACTAATAAAAAGCAGGTATATAAAAGAAACCATTAAAAATTTTGGAAATGTCAAAAACAAATAGAAGGAACTCATCAAACTTTGCTTATTTCCTCCCACTATAATGACACATGGATAGTATTTTTCTTTCTATTATCTTCGTATGTTTGTCTTAGTTAAGTGTTTTTTTTTATGTTTGCTTTATATATGACTTATTGATGAGCCTATTCAAGGATATATTAAAGTACTTTTTACTCCTAATGTTTTTTATTATTATAAGGTTTTTCTTTAAATTAGTATTGTTTAAAGTTAAAATATTTTTCTAAGTATATTTAACAAAGGGTTCAATAATAATGGTATGTCAAATGATAAACTACACAGCTAATAAAATTACGACACTTATAATATACAACATTGTTTATTGACAAAAGGGGGACATGGATAAACGTTTTGGAATTCTATCAGATTCCATCTTCAGTATCTAAAGCAGAATAAAATGAATTTACATCAGTCTTTATACATTTTCATACATTTTATACATCTTAAGATTAGTTTTTAAATCCACATTACGCATAAAAAATTTCTTCCCTGCTAAAGATCTCCTCCCAATTCCTTATTGTTCTTGGCTTGTCTATCTTTACACGTGTGGAGACTGTAAGGCCTCCCAGGACAGTTCCACGTTATGATGTAATTCTGCATGATTAAGACAGTTCCACGTTTCATCCATAATATCACAGATTTGGCTCTAGCTGAACAAAAATGTTGTTTGAAACCCTTTAATTATAAAAGTTATGTACATGATTCTGCTGATAACCCCCTCCCTAGACTGTTAATAAAGGATGGTCCTTTGTAGTTGTCTGTTCTTGCACTGATGTGTACATCTGTAGTGAATTGTAATTCATATTTGAAGTTCTCCTTATTTTCTGGCGATAAACTTAATTACACTTTGCTGAATAATTATTTTTCCTAACATATGATAACTGATGTTTATTTTTCATGCATCTCGGAAGCTCAAATGAAACAGTTTAGTTGGTCTTGGTTTGCCTTTCTTAGCAGTGTGTAGTAATAGTCTATAAAATAATTCCTTAATTTAAATTAAAAATATTTTAATACCAATATATTCACATGCTGAATTAATACTTTTTTTAACTTTGAAGTACCAATTTGGTTCTATACCATACGCTACTGGTGAAGCCCACAAACTGCATCGTATTGATTTTATGTTTTTACTGGTTGCTACACACAGTGTAAAGAACTGATCAATAGTAGCAATACTATGAAGTTTGATCCAAGTCTTGACATTATGTCTTTATACACCGATTTTGATATTATGTCTTCATACACCAGTATTCTGCTAGAAGTAACAGCATGGCTTACCTTTAATTTGTTGTTTAAAGATTGTACAAGTGTTTCTAATTACATGCTTCAGAAGTTACTTGGTTCACCACTAAACATTTCCACGTTAAGAGAAATTTGATAGTATAGGTTGATGTCCTGTTTCTTCACTGTGTTGGCGTATAGAGGAAACACAGGGGTTATTCAATTTTTTTTTGCATTTTAATGGAAATTCCCATATGTTCATAGGCTCTGACTTTTAAATGGCGTTTGGTTTTGCCAATATAGTAATTCTGCATGATTAGGACGGTTCCACGTTATGATGTAATTCTGCATGATTAGGACAGTTCCACGTTATGATGTAATTCTGCATGATAATCATAACGTGGAACTGTCCTAATCATGCAGAATTACATCATAACGTGGAACCGTCCTAATCATGCAGAATTGGATCAAACTTAATAGTATTGGTGTATAAAGACATAATGTAAAGACTTGGATCAAACGTCATAATATTGGTGTATAAAGACATAATGTAAAGACTTGGATCAAACGTCATAATATTGGTGTATAAAGACACAATGTCAAGACTTGGATCGAACGTCATAATATTGGTGTATAAAGACATAATGTTAAGACTTGGATCAAACTTAAGGATACTGGTGTATAAAGACATAATGTCAAGACTTGGGTCAAACTTCATAGTATTGGTGTATAAAGACATAATGTCAAGAGTTGGATCGAGCGTCATAATATTGGTGTATAAAGACAATGTCAAGACTTGGATCGAACGTCATAATATTAGTGTATAAAGACATAATGTCAAGACTTGGATCAAGCTTCATAATATTGGTGTATAAAGACATAATGTCAAGACTTGGATCAAGCTTCATAATATTGGTGTATAAAGACATAATGTCAAGACTTGGATCAAACTTAAGGACACTGGTGTATAAAGACAATGTCAAGACTTGGATCGAACTTCAGAATAATGATGCATAGACACAATGCCAGAATTTTGATCAAACTAAATTTTTGGATGAATGAATAAATTCAAAAACGTCATTCACAATACACTAATGATAAATGAACTTCTAAAGAAGATGTAAAAAACTACCAGCTAGTTCATACTTAAATGTCTCAATATTTGAAATTATGAGACTAATCAACATACACCTTAGGTAAATCTAAACAAAACTCTACAGATCAAACCCATTGTCTAATTTTATCACTGAGAGAGTAAAAGTACAATGTAGATTATTAGGCTTCAGGTGCTAATGGTTATATACACCTGTTACCAATTCTAAGAGCATAGCTTACAAAAAAAAAAATTAAATTTCAGTAAATATTCAATTTTTTAATCCATCTTCATAACAAATATGAAATTACTTTCCAGTTTCTATTGAAAGTACAATGTTTAGGGATGAGAAAGCCACAAACTCTTATTATTTGATCCCTATAGTTTACCAGCAAAGTCTGGCTGATTCTTTTAGTTTTCCAGCAAAGTCTGGCTGATTCCTATAGTTTACCAGCAAAGTCTGGCTGATTCCTATAGTTTACCAGCAAAGTATAACTTATTCTTTTAGTTTACCAACAAAGTATAACTTATTCTTTTAGTTTATCAACAAAGTCTGGCTGATTCCTATAGCTTACCAGCAAAGTATGGCTTATTCTTTTAGTTTACCAACAAAGTATGGTTGATTCCTATAGCTTACCAACAAAGTATGTCTGATTCCTATAGTTTACCAGCAAAGTTTGACTGATTCTTTTAGCTTACCAGTAAAGTATGGCTGATTCTTTTAGCTTGCCAGCAAAGTATGGCTGATTCTTTAGCTTGCCAGCAAAATATGGCTATTTTTTTAGCTTACCAATAAAGTATGGCCGATTCCTATAGCTTACCAACAGAGTATGGCCGATTCCTATAGCTTACCAACAGAGTATGGCCGATTCCTATAGCTTACCAACAGAGTATGGCCGATTCCTATAGCTTACCAACAGAGTATGGCCGATTCCTATAGCTTACCAACAGGGTATGGCCGATTCCTATAGCTTACCAACAGAGTATGGCCGATTC